AGGCGCCCCAGGATTTTTTTTTTTTTAAGGGTAATGTTATAAGGTATGTCTTATGTCACAGTTTATTGAGCTATATATGACGTGTGCACTTTTATGATGTATCTTGTACTTTAATAAAAGGTTTTTTTAGGAAAAAACCTCCAAAATATTATGATCCATGGCTTTATAAAAATATATACATATATAGACAAATATATACATGAAAATATTAAGTGTTAGGTGATAGCACTTGTTTATGATTTTCTTAAAGTCAGATAAGAAACAAATGTTTTTAACTTTTAAAAAACATTTTTAACTGTGATAAAATATGCATAATATTAAGGATGCCTGGCTGGCTCAGTTGGTAGAACATGAAGCTCTTGATCCCCAGGTCATTAGTTCAAGCCCCACATTGGGTGCAGAGTTGACTTAAAAGTTTAAATATATATATATTTAATAATATAAAAATTTAATGAAAATTTATATATATATTTAAATAATGCAGCTATAAAAATACAAATAAAAAGCATAGTATACACACACACACACAATGCTATGCTTTTTATTTGTATTTTTATAGCTGCATTATTGGGATACAGTTCATATACCATACAATATTTACAGAGTAGTGTAACCATCACTACAGTCAATATGAAAACATTTTCATCAGTACAGAAAGAAACCCAATATCCACTAGAAGTTACTTCCCATTTTCCCCAAACCTCTTCTTTTTGTTTTTTATTAAATTAATATTTATTTTTATTTGAATATAGTTGACACCCAATGTTACATTAGTTTCAGATGTACAACATAATGATTCAGTATCTCTGTACGTTATGCTATGCTTACCACAGTTGTTTATTTTTAAGAGCTTTTTCCTCCACCTTTTGTTAATGTCAAATGTGGGTTTTCTTCTTTGGAGCTCTGACCTTCTTACTTATCTTGATTCAGTAAGTGGAGTGAGAGAGTTGACTGAGTGATGTACTTCAAAGGATGTTTCAATTTATTAGGAAATACTTCAGAGTTAAAAAAAATAATATAACATACCCATCTTAAATTCTAAAAAGGGAAAGATAAGGTTATTAGCAGGTAGTGAGTTCTTGCTAAATATTAGTCATTATATTAGGTTGCTTGTCTTCAAATTGTCTTGTGTGTTTTAGTTGATGTTGATACTCTCCTCTTGACAATTTTATAGAAAAAAAAGTCTGCCTTAGAAAACTGAGGTTAAATAACTCGTCCAAGTTTGCACAGCTTTGGAATGGCAGAGCCAGGGTTTAAACCTAGAGGGTTTTGTTGTTTAGTACATGTAAAAACTCTTTACTGAATGTGTTCACTAACCACATTTTAAAAGTTCTGCCATTATGAGGTTTACTTTAATAATCTATCATAAGTTAAAAGCTGTGATGAGTTATTTTCTAATTGAGGTAAAGGATCCAGTGGGATCACGTGGCTCTTGGAACCTGGTTTGCTATATTAAAAGATACAAATTCTTGATGGTATGACAGTGGAGCAAAAAGCTACTATTAATCATAAAAATTTCTTTATCGAAAAGTTCTGGGATTACTACAAGGAGACCGAGGTCTTAGGTTAAATGATATGACTAAGAGCTCATAGAATCTAGGTCTCCTGAGTTGAGTCTGTAATTCTTTTAATTAGTAAACTTAGTAGTGTGTGTGCTTATAACTAAAAACCTTTCAAAGACTTTGTTCTATCCTTTATTCCATTTTGACTGGCAGACCCCAGATGAGGCTGAATTTACGTGATTATATCATTTTATAGTTCTATGAATGTTTTTTAGAATTATGGATATGATTATTTCTTTTATAGAAGCATTTGTTTTCAGATGGTTTCTGATTCTCATTTTAGAAAATGGAAACAAGAAGAGAAAAAAATTACATATATAACCACAAATATAAATATGTAATAATTACATGTATCTGTGGAAATAACCAGGTAACTTTGTAAAAAAAACACACGTCGGGGCGCCTGGCTGGCTTAGTCAGCAGAGCTTGCGACTTTTGATCTTGAGGTTGTGAGTTCGAACCCCACGTTGGACGTAGAGATTACTTAAAAAAAATTAAAATTGTTGGTGCTGGCAAAGAAGTGGTTTGAATGTAAATAAAACATACATACCATTCTCTTAGTGGAGCTAATGGTACACATTTTATGTCCTACTTTTTTCTCTCAAGATTATTATTTACTTTCTCATCCAGTAATTTATACATCTAAATTTTCTAATTTCTTGTTTTGTTGATTTTTTTCTTTTTCTTTTTCTGTTCTTTTTTGTTTTTGTTTTTGTTTTGCTTTCCCCCCATAGATCTTGAGCCAGATGATTGTGCATCCATTTACATCTTTAATGTAGATCCACCTCCATCTACTTTAAACTCACCACTTTGCTTACCACATCATGGATTACCGTCTCACTCTTCTGTTTTGTCACCATCGTTTCAGCTCCAAGGTCACAAAAACTATGAAGGAACTTGTGAGATTCCTGAATCTAAATACAGCCCTTTAAGTGGTCCCAAACCCTTTGAGTGTCCAAGTATTCAAATTACATCCATCTCTCCTAACTGTCATCAAGAAATAGATACTCATGAAGATGACCTACACATAAATGATCCAGAAAGGGAATATTTGGAAAGGCCTTCTAGAGATCATCTCTATCTTCCTCTTGAGCCATCCTACCGGGAGTCTTCCCTTAGTCCTAGTCCTGCCAGCAGCATCTCTTCTAGGAGCTGGTTCTCAGATGCATCTTCTTGCGAATCTCTTTCACACATTTATGATGATGTGGATTCGGAATTGAATGAAGCTGCCGCCCGATTTACTCTTGGATCCCCTCTGACTTCTCCTGGTGGCTCACCAGGAGGTTGCCCTGGAGAAGAGTCCTGGCATCAACAATATGGACTTGGACACTCCTTGTCACCCAGGCAATCTCCTTGCCACTCTCCTAGATCTAGTGTTACTGATGAGAATTGGCTGAGCCCCAGGCCAGCCTCAGGACCCTCATCAAGGCCTACTTCCCCCTGTGGGAAACGACGGCACTCCAGTGCTGAGGTTTGTTATGCTGGGTCCCTTTCACCCCATCATTCACCTGTTCCTTCTCCTGGTCACTCCCCCAGGGGAAGTGTAACAGAAGATACCTGGCTTAATGCTTCTGTCCAGGGTGGATCAGGCCTTGGCCCTGCACTTTTTCCATTTCAGTACTGTGTAGAGACTGATATCCCTCTGAAAACAAGGAAGACTTCTGAAGATCAAGCTACCATACTACCAGGAAAATTAGAGCTCTGTTCAGATGACCAAGGGAGTTTATCACCATCCCGGGAGACTTCAGTAGATGATGGCCTTGGATCTCAGTATCCTTTAAAGAAAGATTCATCTGGTGACCAATTTCTTTCAGTTCCTTCACCTTTTACCTGGAGCAAACCAAAGCCTGGCCACACCCCAATATTTCGGTGAGTCGATGGAAATGGCTGCTGGTCATTTTTCATGCTTATGTGTTACTGGTGGCATGTGACTGCATTATATATATGGAATGGTTTGATGCCCCCCCCTTTTTTTCTAGTGTCTTCCAGACAAATCAATTAAAGTCTGCATTTATTTTCCCTTTAGTCTTAAAAGAGCCTTCAGATAGGCTAGGCTTATCATTTTAAAAGTATATAGATAATGAATTGTAGATAATAATAAATTATATTGAAGATTCCCTAGAAAGAATTTTCTTATTTAAAAAGCTTTTTGTAAAACATTGATTACAGTATGAGTTAAATTACAAAAAAAATACTAATTGGGAACATGTGTTTTATATTTTTAAGACCTTATTATACAAATGAAATTTGTTTATTGTGGCAAGTTCTTTTCATAATTTATTTTTTATCTTTTGATTTTATAAGTTTGACTTTTTTATTGTAGAGAAATTTTAACATTTTATGTATTTAAATTTGTCTTCTGCATGGGTTTTGGATTTTGTGTTATATTTGAAAGCCTTACCCCAGTCTAAAATAATTACAAATAACAATCTAACTTGCACATGTTTTTAATAAAATTTTTATGTATACATTAGCTTTATAATGTATATAATACATATTAATTATATTTATGTGTACATGCATATATTATATATTAATAATTGTATATATATGAATATATATTTGAATTTTGAGTCTAGCTAGGAGCTGGAGTAGAGAACAGTTTAAAAGTAAGTAAGTAAGAGTGTAAGAGCAAGTAAGTAATTCTAGATAACTGGAGTAAGAACAGCATGACTCATTCCAAATGACTTCTCAGTTGTCATAATCCTGTTTTATAGAATCAATCTAGTCTATATAATTGTTTAGAAGAGAACTTTTTTTAAAATGCTTTTTCAGTGGTATGAGTGTTTATTTCTGGATCCAGATCTTTAGAAAAATATGTGGAATTATGGTATTGAAGATATCTTTGAGCCTATCATTCTGCTTTTGAAAAGTATCTTAATCTTTGTAGGGGTTTGCTTAAGTCTGCAGAACAAGTGTAGAAACTAGCTGAGAGTTGAAGTTGAGTTGTTTCAGACTAATAAAAATTAATACCTTTGAGCTTCATAATAAAGCTAGGCTGAGGACATTGAGAGAGGCAATTTAGAAATGTTAGCAGTGAATGAATGAAGCAATGTAGGAATGGTAGCATTTCATTGGTGGAAGAGACCTTAAAAGTCCAATTTCACCAGTCACTAAGAAGATTTTTTTTTTCTAACATTTATTTTTTGGGAGAGCGCAAGCAGGGGAGAGGCAGAGAGAGGGGGACATAGGATCTGAAGCAGGCTTTGCGCTGACAGGCTGACAGCAGTGAACCCAATGTAGGGCTCGAATTCCTGAAGGAGATCATGACCTGAGCCAAAGTTGGACACTCAAGCAAATGAGCTACCCAGGTGCCCCAAAAGATGTTTTTAATATAAATTATTGTAGGTTGGGTCCTTTAATATTTGACCTACAGACATATAAGTTGTTTCTTTTTTAAATCCTGTATTTTCATTGTTAATATATCTAAATGAGGGGTGGTTGGGTGGCTCAGTCAGTTAGGCATCTGACTTTGGCTCATATCATGATCTCATAGCTCGTGAGTTCGAGCCCTGCATCTGGCTCTGTGCTGCCAGCTCGGAGCCTGGAGCCTGCTTCAGATTCTGTGTCTCCCTCTTTCTGCCCTTCCCCCTCCCCCCCCCCACACTCCCTCTCTCTCTCTCTCTCTCTCTCCAAAAATAAATAAACATTTAAAAAATATATATACATAAATATCTAAATGAACCTATATCCCTTTAAGCTGTTTAAATTATCTTATTGATCAATTGATGTTTTCTCTAAAATTGACATTTAGAATCTGCAATGATAGACCTTATAGTTTTTCAGCCAATGTGTAGTGAAATTAAATTGTAACTCAAATTGCAGTATACTGCTGCCTGTAAGCGGTGTACAGTATTTCAGAGAAACAAGAATAAGAAGGAAGTGGGTAAGCAACAGGTATAATAGACTAACTTCTATAGCTACACACCAGGGATGGAGACTTATATACTGAGATACAGGAGTATTTGGATCCTTAGACACTGATAGCACATATACAGAAATGGACATTTTTGCTTAAAAGTTAAATTATTCTTTTGGTTGTTTTTTTATAATTAGGTACACATAGTTGAAAATCATTTAGTTTTGCAAAATGTTAGAATTTGTCCTTTTTAAAAAATACAGGAAACCAAAATGTAAATGAAATGGATTTGAGTTAAAGAATTATTTCGTAAGTACCCATCATATCCAGTGTTATAACTTATTAAGTAAAATTTTATTTTGGAATACTCTGCTTCAGAGATCACAGGAGGAAAAAAATGTTGGTTGCTGGCAAAGAAGGGATTTAAATGCTTGTTTGGCAGTAATAGCATGGTGAAATGCATTTTTTGTGTGTTTCGTTTATAGCACATCTTCATTACCTCCACTAGACTGGCCTTTACCAACTCATTTTGGACAATGTGAACTGAAGATAGAAGTGCAACCTAAAACTCATCATCGAGCCCATTATGAAACTGAAGGTAGCCGAGGAGCAGTAAAAGCATCTACTGGGGGACATCCTGTTGTCAAGGTATCAGTTGGGACTTATTTTGGAGATATCATACATTTTTTAATGATAAAGTCTGTTCATTTAGGTACTGCTGAGCACAAAAAGAAAATTCAAAGCTTAAAACTTCTGTTGAGGTTTTATGTTTTTGTTCATATGGCACTTCTGCATTGAGGTTATTTTTTTTGCTAAGTTGAAACATATTCTTTTGCTTGTGGACTGACTCTCCAGCTGAGAGGAAAGATTGTAGTGGTCAAACAGTTGTTTTTCTTATTAAAAAACCCCAAATAACAAAAAACAACTGTATTATAAACATAATACATGCTCGTTTAAAATCAAAGTAATACTGGGGCGTCTGGGTGGCTCAGTTGGTTGAGCTTCCAACTTCAGGTCAGGTCATGATCTCTCAGTTCGTGGGTTCAAGCCCCACGTCAAGCTCTGTGCTGACAGCTCAAAGCCTGGAGCCTGCTTCAGATTCTGTGTCTCCCTCTGTCTCTGCCCTTCCCCAGCTCATGCTCTGTCTTTCTCTCTCAGAAATAAATAAACATTAAAAAAAATTTTTTTTTAATCCAAATCCAAGTAATACCAAAAATAAAGCAATAAATTACCCCAAATACAAACCCCTCAGAAATAAGCAATTGTTAATATTTGATTAACATTCCAGATAATTCTCTGTGTATATTTAGTGTAAGTCTGAATGGATGGCTAGAAAATAGATTGAATTTTTTTATGGATAGCATTATACTGAACATCTTTGTGATGAAAATGTTTAATTTATTTTTATTTGAATTTATTAGGAAAAACTAACATGAAATCATAAAAATATGTAATAGTTGAGCATGTGAAATATACTTAATAGGTAAATTTTGAATCATAATAGTTGAATGTTAACTTTAATATTTGAATGAAATATTTATAAAATGAAACAGAAGTAAAAAGTAAGAACTTATACTGAATCGTAGATATTGTTCTTCCCGCTCAGAGATCCTAAGAAGATCTAAGGTTAAAGATACTAAATTATTGAGAAACTGAATCACTGTTTTAGATGGTTTGAATTTTGATTCCCTGCTTTGAAAAATGAGATGATTGTCTTAAACTTCTCCTGCTCTACCCAGGTTCTACCTCCTGAATTTTGTTGCTTCTGTTATTTTCCCTTGCAGATCTACAGCCATCTTCCCACCCTTGTACCCTTCCACACTCCATTGTTTAGCTTTAGTCCTATGTCTAGTTGGATTCAGTGATTACTAGTAATTTTTACATGTTTTATTGTTAAATGTTTTGTTTAAGGAGGGCTTTGGATTCTGTATTCGTTGGGTTCTTTCATGTTTGAGAATGTTTGTTGGCTTAAATACCCAAACATCAGAATGGCCTGTATATAATAATCTCGAGTCACCTATTTTTCTCTCTCAGGACTTGTCTTTACAGCATTGTGTATTGAGGACAAATTAGTTTTATCTGAAGTGAATTTGAACAATACAGGTTATGAACTATCATTTCCTGTATCAGCCATGATTTATGATTTATCATTATTATCTAAACAATATTTAATAGTTCTTGACAAAGCTTTACATTTTAGGTGGGTTTTTAAATGGCTTGTAGCGGGGCGCCTGGGTGGCTTGGTCAGTTAAGCGTCCGACTTCGGCTCAGGTCATGATCTCACGGTCCATGAGTTCGAGCCCCGCGTCGGGCTCTGTGCTGACAGCTCAGAGCCTGGAGCCTGTTTCACATTCTGTGTCTCCCTCTCTCTCTGCCCCTCCCCTGTTCATGCTCTGTCTCTCTCTGTCTCAAAAAATAAATACACGTTAAAAAAAAAAAAAAAAAGTGCCCTCCACAGCACGGGGCACATAGTAAATGACTTGTAGCAAGAAATAGCAGTTACAGAAAGAGTTCAGGTTTGTGGTTACCAGTGAGGAAACTGGATCAAGGTGGTCAGAAGGTACAAACTTCCAGTTATAAATAAGTACCGAGGATGTAGTGTACAACATAATGATTATAGTTAACACTGCTATATAGTATATTTGAAAATTGCTAAGAGTAGATCCTGAAAGTTCTCATCACAAGGAAAACAACCTTTTTTTCCCTCTATCTCTGTCAGTTTTTGGTAAGTATATGAGGCGATGGATGTTAGCTAAATTTATCATAGTAATCAGTTCACAACATAAAAATCAAGTTATTTATGTACCTTAAATTTATGTACTATTTTATGTCAGTTGTCATAAGAATTCTCTCATTTGTTTTTTTTTAATTTTTTAAATTTATTTTAATGTTTATTTTTGAGAGAGAGTGAAAGCATGCATGAGTGGGTGTGGGATAGAGAGAGAGGGAGACACAGGATCTGAAGCAGGCTCCAGGCACTGAGCTGTCAGGGCAGAACCTGATGCAGGGCTCGAACCCATGAACCACGAGATCATGACCTGAGCGAAGTCAGATGCTCAACTGACTGAGCCACCTAGGCATGCCCTACCGTTTGTTCTTAGAGTCACATTTTGCTCTTAAATGAGAGCTTATTTCAGTTTTATTAAGGAAGAAGATTGCTTCATTTACTGTATCTTTGAGTTTTCTTACCAGGAAAGAAATTATTTACAAGTCCTTAAGTGAACAAAAATTTTTTGAGAGTCCAAGTGGTTTGTTGCCACAGTATTCCTTTAATTACAAACTGGTTCTCTGAGGTGCCTGGGTGACTCAGTTGGTTAAGAAGCCAATCTTGATTTCGGCTCAGGTCATGATCTCATGGTTCATCAGATCTAGCCCTGTGTCAGGCTCTGTGCTGACAGTGTGGAGTCTGCTTGGAATTTTCCCTCTCTCACTCTCTCTGCCCCTCCCCTGCTTGTATGGTTGCTCTCTCTCTCTCTCTCTCTCTCTCAAAATACATAAATAAACATTTAAAAGAAGAATTAAAAAGATAAAAAATAAAAACTGGTTCTCTTTTGGGGCTCCTGCTGGCTCCATGGAGCCTGCAACTCTGTCTCAGGGTTGTAAATTCGAGCCCCAAATTGGGGTGTAGAGATTACTTAAAAAACCAAACTGGTTCTCTTCTTAGGAGGAGACTAGCACTTCTGGTATTATTATCGTTGCTTTATATTGTCCTTGTGAGTGACTTTTTTTTTTTTAATAACTTCTTACCTGAAGAATTATATCATTACACTTGAAATTACTGACTTCTGGATGCTGATGGTTCTTTATCAGCCTTTCCAAGTACCTATGATACTCCCTTTCAATCTGAGATTATTTCTTCCTTTGTACAAGAAAATCTGTATTACGTATCTGTATACCTTTCCTGTCCATTTGTTTTGTCCTTTACTTCAGGGACTCCAATTACTAGTCAAATGTCAACTTGTCTTTGTTTATCCCCCATGTCTTTGTGTTTTTTCCTCTGGTTATTTTTATGTCTTACTATTTAGTGTGTGTGTGTGTGTGTGTGTGTGTGTGTTTAAAGCTCTGCTCTGATGTTTTTGATCTATTCGTCACTTGCTGTTTCTAATTTAGCTTCTAATTTTTTTTACATTTATTTTTGAGAGAGACAGAGAGAGACAAAGTGTGAGCAGGGGAGGGGCAGACAAAGAGGGAGACACAGAATCTGAAACAGACTCCAAGCTCTGAGCAGTAAGCACAGAGCCTGATGTGCAGCTTGAACCCACAAACCGTGAGATCATGACCTAAGCTGAAGTTG